AATAATATTTCCCAGACGAAAAACAAATTTGTACTGTGCAAGTGTTTTGGATAGTTTGCTATGTTTTAATTTAGCTGAAAACTTGTGAAGAAACGTTATTTCAAGTATGAATTACATTCAAACTCATTTTAGACATTTATAAGATAAGATCATTTGAATATGTTTACATTGCGAAATTATCCAGCTCGCTATTCATTGTACATATCGCGACATTTCATTTTTGATAATCAAACACCCTCATACCAATCGGAATGTTCAGCTATTATGGCCGACGAAAAGGCCCGAGAAGTTGCATTTGCCCTTTCACAAAATCTGATTTCATTCCATAAGGGACGTCGCGCTTCGGCGCGGACGCCAATAAATCATGCATATCAGTATCAAAACAATCGTTTAAAGAAAACGCAGATGTACTTAAATACTCATTACTGTTAATGTCTTTAATTTTGCCACAAACGCATAATAAGTCACGTGACACTCATAACCAGTTGAAATTTTGCTACAGTACATATATATCAAAAGATATATTAATACGTGAAAGAAATGAGTGACGTCATTTTATGAAACGATGCGATTGTGACTGACAAGTTTGACGTTACTTGATATCTCTGTAACATATCTCGGACTGAAGACGTTAAATTTGTCCAAGAAATATATATTATCAGGCTTACTGAAAATCAGTATCATAGTCCTGTCTTTATATCTAGTGTGTAAGATCTTTTGTTTACACTACTTTAAAACTTACTAGAAATGTCTTGTTTCAATAATACAAAAGAAAACATTATATGGATACAGATATACATGTACAAATAACACTTTGTTATAAAATTAAATTAAATGTTTAAAACTTATTTTCATAGCAGTAAGAATTTTTGATACTTCTCAGTTCTCATAATCATTTTAGAGTTGGCAAAATAGACAAGTTTTAATATTGAATAAAAAACACATTATGTCTCAGAAGCAAATTGTCTTATCCATTATTAGAAAAGTCAAGCATGGGTTTTATAATGATTGATTGAATTATGGTTTTAGAGCATGTCAGATGCTAATTACCTGAAGAAAGCAGAACGTAATGTGAAATTATTTGTAATAAAAGTTGTAAAATGATAACAAAGTAGTACTTTTACTTCAATGCAAAACTACTAAATCAGTGTAACTGTACAAATTGTCAAAATGCAACAGCAGCAAATTATGGATATTGTCACTAGCCAATGAGAATTTTTTTGGAAACCATAACAAGACTATAATACTAATAAAAATCGTTTGAGAAATAAAACTAAAAGTATTCCTTTAGCATAATAAGTCTTTAATAACACGTAATACACTTTCAATTCAGATTATAATTTTTTTTACTGTTAACTTTATGTTTTATTTTGGTTGTCTGGAATAGGAAAAAATACTTGTTTATATAATCGTTAGATGCCATTGAGAAAAAAAGTAAACGATTTGATTAAACGGCTCAAAAAGGCGACGTGGTAGCGACTACAGCTGTTTAAGATGTTGTTTGCTTTTTGTTTTGTTTTTTGTCTTATTAGCGTCTAAGTAAGTCGTCTGGTATGCGTAACGTCAACGTTTCTATGGACTGTTTATGCAAAATAGACTGTCTGAAATGTTCATATTTAGGCGTTATAAGTAGGTAGAAGAAAAAGTAGAGCAAAATATTAATCATGTTAAGAATCCTACAAAATAATATATAAGACAAAATGTTTAAATGTTTGTAAATGTTTTTAAGATAATTTGATAGAATCTAGCCACGTATGCGTCGAGTAAAACTAATTTGAATGTGGTCCAACCCAAAAGCGTACAATTGTAAAATTAAGAAAGACATGGTTATGGACCGTTTTTGTTCTGTTTACCGTATTTGCAATATTCATGTTTCTTCACTCTCTGAAACAATTTGAATAAAACTATTTTGTGGAATTGTAATTAAGGTACGGGCAAATTGTGTATCATGTTTAAAATCCTTGTATAATAACGTCGTTATCAATATATTTTGACATCTAAAGCTACATTTTGAGATTTATTTTGATGTTAGAGGTTACATATTGCTTAAGCATGAAATATTTGAACTCGTAGAACAATAAGTTCGGCTACATATCTCACAAGTGATATTTAACACCCTTTAAAAATTGATTTTTACCACAAATCTTCGTTGAAATAAAATAGTTTTACGACAAAAGATCAATCGCTCAGATGTTAAGGCTGGAAATTTGATACAAATTTCTTTGCTGTTATTGACCATTTGTCGCCAATTAAAATATTTCGTTTCCCATAAATGAGAAAAACAATTCTCCTAAACATCCGGTTAAAGATAACCGTATTGTTAAATTTCTCAACAACAAAAACATTGAGTTACATATATCTAATGTGGGTTATCTTATTGTATCTTTTATAAACATTTGCTCATTTATTTATTTATTTATTTATTTATTTATTTATTTATTTATTTATTTATTCTTTCATTTTTTTATTTATTTATTTAACATTCATTCATTCTTTTAGTTTTATTTATTTATTTATATCTATTTATTTATTTATTTATTAACTTATTTCATTTTTTTTTATTTTTTTTTTTCATTTATTTATTTTTTAATTCAAAAATACAATGTAAATATGAATCAATGTTTTCCATCTGTTGTACATGACATGTTGAAACATTAAATAACATTTTTGTATTTTTGTCTTAATTACAGACGTTCACTTGACCTTCCTTTCATTTTGATGGCTAGACAATGGCATCAAAACAAAAACATTTCGTTTCATAGTTAATTAGAAGGAGCGGTACTTAACCTTGACTTCCATATAGTCTTCAAAAGAAAAAAATATAACGGAAATATATGTGCAGATAGAGAAGAAGTGTAAAGTCCTCGTAACTTTGTTTGGGGGCAGAGTTGCAATGTGGGAACGATAAAATATAAATAAATAACATGCAACATCCACTTAGAGCAATAAATATTAATTGATATGTTTGCATCGCACTTATCGGGTTATTTTTCTAATATCTAGTCTACGAACATTTAAGATCTATTTTCATTCAAACCATTCTTATGTTAATTTAAACAATGTTTAAAAACGACTGTATTAACAAACAAGCTATATTTGCATAAATACAAACAGCGTGGACAGATTTGTTTACTCAAGGGTTGAAAGAAAGTCATCTATCGGCACTCGGTGTAAAGACAGTGTTAAAGAATAGTCATTAGCGAACAAATATCGCCTTTTTGAATCTTTAGAAACTGTATCGAAATACTGTTATGAGAACACGCCATAGACTGAGAGCTGTGGGCAAATTGAATCTGGATATCACATCAGAACTGGTAAATTGACGGCACAGATCTATGTCGGTGGCTTTATATATATGTATATATATCTGTAATTGTTTTCTTTGCCTGAAGGAAATATGATTTCACGTGCCAGATACGATCGGAGACTACAATGATCTGACCATATTATCATGCGAAAGATCAGACAGTGGGAATAAATATTCATACAGTGTAATAGAAAAATGTTGCAAGAAATGTTGAACCGTATTTAACATCATTATGGTTTTATTGTTATTTTATTACCGTGCGGATTATTCGTTCATATTTCATCACGTATTTACGGATTTTTTGAGTGCATGGTATTATGGCAATAAAAAAGTATTTTCTGACATAGTTCTGCATAAAAGTGAGCGGTAAGGTGAGAGTAAAGTGATGTAATTTATAGAATGCGGAATTATTTCGTGTACATGTTTTTTGTGTTTTTTTTTTAAGATTGCGGGGAGTAATATAATAGTTTAATTTTAAACGAATACTTATTTAATTGTTTAAAAGCTACTTTGAGGAAAAGAGATAAAAAAATTAGCGTTTTAATTATATTTGAATCTGCTGCTGAGACAAAGTAATTGTTTTAAACGTCACTTTTTGAAAGCTCATTTTGAAATATAATCATATATAAATAAAACAACAAGTAACAAGCGATTAAAAATGAGAATGCAATTAATTTTTATTAGTTTAGATCACATTTATATAAATTTAAAATTAATTATAACTATAAAATATAAAAAAGATCAGGGATCATGTTTTGTATCCCTTTTTATTTACTTGTTAAGCACCACTGTATTATAGAAGCATTTCTAAATTTTATTCCTTTCTTGTTACCGATAGAAAATCTACCCTTAAGACATATATTCGTAAAGCCAAAGAAGACATGAACATACGAATAGGGATTACGCAACAAATGTGGTCTTTAACAAAGGGTTTAAGCATGGAAAATCTCCAAAACGCAATAAAACTTACTTGTGTTAGGTTTATATTTGTTTCATCATAAGGAAACTTTCTTGCATTTCTTCAATAATTCAATCAATTGTATAACTTTTAATGCACAACCTAAGCAATGATATTCATTTCTGTTTTAATTATCAATGTTAACGTTAGTAATTTCGTAACAGCTTATTTTTCATTCGTATTTAAAGCTTAATTAATCAGTTTCGTGACGTGCTAAATGTGCTATGCTCGTTATAAGCTTAACTCTAATTCTGCTAGCGGCAAATATACATGTCACATGCGGCAGTTCAGACAAGGAATTATCTGTACTAAAGTGCCGACTGATTATTGTCTCACTGTCGCTATTCGGTCGGTAAAATATTTGGAATTTTCCTTAATAATGTTTAATGATTTAATCCACATTTAAAGATGGAGGTGCCCACTTAAGATATTCAGCATGGGAATATTCTAAAGATCAAAATTCTAGATTCAAGATTCTAATCACAAAACTTAATTTGGAATCCGTATGTATATTCATAGGGGTATGAATATATAAAATGTTCGAGATAATGTAAAAGTCTGTGTTAAGTTAATGATAATGTATTGTTGTCAATCAGTGCAAAATTAATTAATAGATTTAAATGGTAGTGATTGGAAGTTTATGTGAGTAAAATAAAGTTTGAATTAAAAAAACAATGAAATAATATGTTAAATTTGTAAAAATAACGTTTTTTATGGCCATAATTTTATTTGTAGGTAAATAACAGATCGTTTAATGTTGATAGACGGTCGACATAATTGAATATATTTTGAAAGCGATCGAACACAGAAACAATGCAAGTCATGAATAACTAAGTGTTATTTGGTATGATAACCACGGAAAGTAATTTTGGAATATCATTCATGACAATTTACTTGTCGCCAGTTTTCCGACGGTATAGTGCGGAAAATTGCCGGTGATTATACGAGGTTTGACGCAACGGGGACCTTTCAAGCCATCTCGCTCACATTGAAAGTAGCTTTAACAAACGGATTTATTGTGACAACCAATAAATTTTATGTATACTGCCGCGTGTGATATTAACAAGCTATTTGATAGACTAGAATGTACGCTCATCGCATAATGACGTTATTTTATTTCCTCGTCTCTTTTCTGGAATTTTACTCGGTGATTTGTGAGAACATAACAATTGGATATATTACAGGATCCCAAAAACCTGAAGACGGTTTTTATCGGCGCCCCGGTCAAGCCATTTCCGGCGCCCTTACTCTTGCTTTGGATGAAATTAATAACGACACTGCAATCTTACCAGATCATAAATTGACGTTTTTAATAGCAGAGACGCGGGGAAAGGAATTTATCAGCATAAAAGAGACTGTTGAGTTAATTAATAAGAATATTTCTGTTTATATTGGACCCCAGGAAACTTGCATCCATGAAGCAAAGATTGCGGCGGCCTTCAACATTCCTATGATATCTTATGTAAGTATTTTCAATTATCTTTCATTACCCGTGGAATGTTATTATATACCAGATACTTATATCATAACAATTATTATTAGTTTTGGTATATTACAATATACCGGTAATTATTTCTCTTATAACGTGTGTTATCTTTGCGCGTACTAAATATATAAATATACAATATAAATAGAATACACGTTACAATACAAAAAGTAACAACTATGTAGCGGTTATGAGTGAGTAGAGCTACAAACATATCTTTCAAAACAATCAATTATTGATAACTCCATTGATGGCGTTTCATATTTTATACAATTTCGTTCGTTTGTACTTCTGAAATGTTTAGATATTTTAGAACTTAACCAAGCATTTCAAATTATAAAATAAAAACGGAAAACTGTCTACCATCCTGAAATGGATCTTTTTAAATGAAATATGAAGTAGTCGATTTCTTCATATGTAAATCGAATTTTATAAGCAACAAAACAAAAGAAAAAACAATGAAACGAAGAATTTAATAAATAATTAAATGAATAATTATGCAAATGTTGAAAATATAAATACAATTTATATTATTACTGGTATATCTTTCCATATCGTATTGGTAAACATTTGAAATAAGTCTTGATTGCCCTTAAATCAATACAATATTAAAAACGACACAATGTCAAAAACAACACAATGTCATAAAAAGCCAATATAAAAATAACACAATATCAAAAACAACACAATGTCAAAATTAACACAATATCAGATCAATAAAATGCAACAAAAATATAAATTAAACATCTTGATATAGATCTATATACTATTTCAGTAAATATATTGTACTGTATATTTCCTCATTCCGCTATTCACCATAATGAGATCACGGTCAAATTAGTATTACCACAGGTTGCTCTTTAAATAGCGCCTAGAAATGGTCTGCTAGTCAATTATAGTGTTTTATCTTTTCTTCTTACTAGACGCTACAATAAAACTTGTCGCCGATTTTAGAGCCTTGTAAAGTTCTGATTTCCCCAAACCACTGACCTTTTCCGAGTAATTGGAATAGAGTGTTCACTTAGCACCAATTATCTTTCTTACGAGACGAACACTTTTACTTGGTTCAGAGATTTGATTTACTTTGATCAAAGGACCGTTCTTTACTGGATGAAAGCTATTTATATAAGAGAACATTAGAAATAAAAACGTTCCCTGTAAAAAAATAAAAACAAGCATGCGTGCGTTCAGAATAAAACCAATGGTAATGTACGAGTACAAGTTATATGTGAAAAGTCATAAAGTTGTGAATTGAAAATTGTACGTGAATAAATCCCTAAAGATGAGGTAAACAGTAAGATATCACTTATGAAGGGAAAATGTACGGTAGCACAGAGGTGACATATGAGGGATAAATGAAAACACACACAAGTCACCTCTGTGCCACCGTAAAAATGGGTAAGGTATCAAACAGCTTATTATGTTACACTTTGAGATTGGATTTTTCCAGACCCGGTCAGTCTGCATATGTTCCTACCAGGGGGATATATGGCATCCATCATGAGAACGTGATGGTTTATAAGTTTCAGCCGGTCACATTTTTCCCAACTTGTAATATTTTACAAACAAACATTTGGATTTTATTGGTCATTATCATATGGATTTTAGTGTCAACAAATGAACAAATTAACTAGTTTACTGTAATGTAGAGCAATTACTTTTTTACTTTATACAAAATTCCATTCCCCCCCCCCCCCCCAAGTAAGATTTCACGATACATTAGAAAGCATTACCTCTCAGTCACGACAAAATATGTTGTCCTCCAGAGGGTGTTGCTATGCAGATGATGTACACGTACTGTATAAGAAAAGTATTGTTGTTGTCATTGTTGTTCTATATTACACCGACACCACTTATATAATAAATAATTATTTTTCCTTTTTAATTCTAAATGAAAATCAAGGGTAACTTCCTTGCATTATTTTCGGCTTACTAGCTAGATGGATATATTCCCCTATAAGAAAAAGAATTGTCCCTAATGAGAGAAATTTATCTACCTTGCTGTTTTAGTTTAAAAGTTATAAGAAGCTATTCATCACTTTTTTATGTTCAATTAATACCTCAAAAGTTGGAATAATTCAACTGTTATATTTTTCAGAAATGAATACCAACCATTTTATTTTGTAATGTTAACGCTATCATCCAATAGAAATACATCCTCTGCATAATTACATAGCTTGAATTCTCTGATACATTTTCAACACTTAATCTTCGGTAATAATTGTATGTAGGTGATTACTGAATTGTTTGCCGATGATTTCTGCTTTTTTGAATATGTAATAATAAGACAGGGACTTGCTTAATGATCGATTTTATTAATTAGTCGAAAAAATAGACATATTTAACAATACGCCACTAAAAGCTGATTCGCAAACAATGCATTTTATAGTAGAGAATATTTTATAGTTGCCCTATAATTAGAAACGCTTATATCTCTGATACTTTGATTACACAAGTGGGTGAAAACATTTAGATTGGGGAAAATGTGAAGACGATTAACACCCTTACCACCAGAGATATAGCATAACTGAACTCGTCTATCTTAAAATCATGGCAAAACCGTTCATCATGTTTAGGGATTTTTTTTATAATTATGTACTTTCTAAAGAGTGAACAGAGCAGATCATAGTCAGACGGGGCTCAGATGTACCGACTGATCTCGGTCTGCAATGTAACACCGCCAGCGAGGTCAAGGTTAAAAATATATAAAAACATATACAGTACATCCCCTGAAAAGCGACACCCTTTGGGCGACAGAGGTGTTGAGTGTTGCCTAGAGATTTGCTCTAAGTAGATAAAATTATTATGAATTCTTATTTTGGAAACATTTAAAACTGTAACCGTAAAAAAATGTCAGTTTTTAACTGAGGGTCGCTCTGAAGAGGTTATGCTGTATATAGATAATACTTTATTTATGTATGCATATTGATAAAGAACAGCCGTTGTTTTAGATGTCAATTCGTTAAAGTCATATCCTACAAGTATAAAGATATCTTTAAATAATGTCCGAAAAAGTGTACTTATGTATGCATTTATATAGAACAGTTAATTTTTTAGATATCATTTTGTTATTAATAAGTTTAGTCATTTTCTACCAGTATGGATAAAAAACTTTAAATAATCTCAGAATAAAAAGTGTATTTAAAATAGTTATATAAAAGCATCTAAAATCTTTTATTTTTGTATTGTAATCATGACACATGGAGTGATTTATATAGCAATCATTTAGTCTTCAGCTTTGCATACAAGACGTAATAGATATGATTGAAATCGATGGCATGAATATTAATAAGTTATATAAGTACTAGTATTTACATGAAGCCTCTGCCTAAACTGTTTGTAAACATAACCAGATATCCAAGGGGAATGTCTGGTCAAGGCAGCGTAGCACCGCCTGAACGTAAAGTCGTTTATAACAACGACCTGAAACCAACACTAAATTGTTTTCGTATTCAAATTAGGTACAGTTGATACATTTCAACATTTATTCCTCAATTTATTTTTCACCGCTTGTAGAATAGAATATAAAATATCTGTAGTTTATTCAACCAAAATAAAAGGTCCATTATGCCACAGAAATGGTTTTATTTTTATTTCTAAAAAGCTTTTTTATTTTTGTGTGTCTTGTTATAGTAAAAAGTAACAAATTGGCCAATTACCTGCAACGTCATTTGCTTCTGTTGTTTTTATAGAAATTCATAAAGTTATATTGATTTGGTATTTTGTATGAAAAGTCAAAATACTACTTTGTTTAAATTTGGTTACTTTTATGATAAATAAGTTTATGTTCAGCACTTCTTTCTTGGTAAGCAAGTAGTACCATACCCTAAAACCATTAATTAAACATTATATAACTCATGTCTGCCTTTTCTAAAGAAATGACATTTGTTATCATATTTAAACAATTTTTAAAAATTTTTTAAGGAGAAAATAGTGCGAAATTATTTTTATTTTTAAAATGCGTATGCTTTTAATTTCCTTTATATAGAAGAATGAACATAACTTAAAAAAAAGACAAGAAATGTTATCTCAGAGAATCGTCAAAATTGTTATGGAATGGAAAAATAAACGATTAAACAAACATTGAAGTGTTTATGGTTTTTGTTTCACTTTAATATTCGCATATAGGTGTTATCTATGGCAGTGTATATCATTCCTTCAATTTTAAGAAATATCGAAATAAAATCAATTAAGATAAACGTTCCGATTATGTTATTTCCATGATATATTCCCTAAATTCTTGAAGATAAATCTTTGAAAATTAATTTAGTTCCCAATTGTTATATATATTGACATATCTTCACTTTCAGAAGCCATATAATACGAAATTTAATGCCTTTACTTAATAAACATCTTTCGTGTTATACATTATTTAAAGAGGAAAATTAGTTTACCATACCGACGCAGAATTCAGCGGAAAATATGTTTATTTGAAGTTTTCTACAAGAAACAATAAACAGGAATAAGTTACTTTATTGACTTTGCCCACAGAGCTCTGTTAGAATAAAACTGGTTTTAGTTAAAAATATTAATGACTTATGAAGAAACACGGTCCTGTCTTAGACGCGAGTCAGGTACATTACCCGCCCGACCTCTAATTTCCCCTCCCATTGTTAAACATATTTGATGATTACCGACACGAACAGCTGACACATTTTAATGAAATCAAAACATATTAAAATTAAAATTCATGATAACCGACCAAAATAGTTAACACATGTTAAAATCAAAGCACAGAAGGCGCTGAATTTGTTTGGGTCTCAGAATGTCAGAAAGATTGTAAACCAATTTGTTTTTGTATACTGCCACTAATGCTTTCCAGTGTTTTAACTGTAGTAAATTGGCTATAAGTCTAATTGCAACACTGATAGTCTGTTCAATGTTTATTTGACTTAAAAAAAATAAATAAAAAAATGAGTTGCCTCAACTGGGAATTGAACTCGAGACCTCTCGATTTATAAGCGAGCGTGCAAACC